AAGTGTGTATATTAAAAAGAAGAGAGAAACCGCAAACGTTTTAGGTTGTAAGGTAGATTTAAAAAAATGCTTTATTTTCCATAATTTTGCTACATACGTTTCCCTTCTCGCGACCGTCGCCAGGCAAAGCGTGGAGATTTCTACATATTATTAAAAATAATTTTTTTCAATGCTAAATATTCTCGAGATGAGACATTCTTTTTTTGTGTTTTTAGTGACCCAAATGCCCCTCTCTCTCTCTCTCTCTCTCTCTCTATATATATATATATATATATATATATATATATATAAAATTCAGAATCATTTTCCAACTTATTCAAGATGATTTTCGCCCTCTCGAACCTTCTATCCTAAGCTAACAAGCTGTCTCACTCACAACTTTCACGTACGATTTTCATCTTTAACTGCTCTTTGAACTGTCATAGCTGAAACTCCTCTCTCGCGGGCTAAATGACATATGGAGTGAGTTGGATATCTTTCTAATTGATCTCCTTGGCTCTAAGTTGAAACGGCGATCCCTCTTCCTATTGTGACCTACTGATCATGTTTTCCTCTCTACTGTTCCCTCTTTTTTAAAACTTATTCACCATTCTCTTGGTGTTCCTTGAATGAAATTTGAAGAGAGAAGCCAGAGTATAAACGTTGGTATCATTACTTGAATGATCTGTTTCCTCTCGTTTGGGAAGACAGATTTTAACCTGTTCCCTTTCTAGCTGAATAACTCAAACTGTTTTTCAGTGATTCTTACGACAAATATTGTCAGGACAGCTAAACGTCATATCTGAAAACCTGAAAAATAATCTCAATTAGTTTAGTTTACTATTTCTTTTTAGATATTAGACATTTTGTGGGATGGGCAGTTATTCCCTTACATGATTTAGGACAATTTTGTTGTTACACCCGTTGTGATTATATATATATATATATATATTTATTATGAAATTGACTAAGTCCGACAGTTATTTTAACATATTTTTTTTGCTTATACGCTTTTATAGATACAAATATTTAAGTAACAGTTTTATTTATAATAAACAATATTAACGACTTGAATGTCAGAGAAATCTCAAAGAAAATATATGTCCTCAGGCAGGAATCGACCTAACCTGTAACCACTATATATATAGCCTAACCATATAGCCTTTACAACTATGCCATTTAGAAGGTTAAATAATTGTGCTATGTATATATGTATATATATGTATATATACTCTCTCTCTCTCTCTCTCTCTCTCTCTCTCTCTCTCTCTCTCTCTCTCTCTCTCTCTCTCTCTCTCTCTCTCTCTATATATATATAATATATATATATATATATATATATATAATATATATATATATATATATATATATATAATATATAATATAATATATATATATATATATATATAATATAATATAATATATATAATATATATATATATATATATATATAATATATAATATATAATATATATATATATATATATATATATATAAAGAAATGACAAAGTCCGACAATTTATTTATTACATTATTCAGGCTGGTAAATGTTATTTACTGTTTATTATAAAACAGAGCATTTACTTAAATACTTTGTATCTAAAAAAAGAACGTTAAACATAAAAATGTCTTTAATAAATAAATTGTCGGACTTTGTCCACTTTTATATATGACGTCTTTTGTTTACATTTGATACGCCAGAGCAGTTATGAATGTACGAGATTCATAGAAGATTGAAGTTTATAAGCAGTAAATTCGACCTTGCCTACCGAACGCTCCTTTGTGGCCGAGGCGGTAAGGCACGTCAGCATAAATGACGGTTCCGTATAGGATGCCGGTTCGAATCCTGTCAAAGGGCGAATATTTTCTATGAAAATTTCTTGGACATTCAGGCCGGTAAATGTTATTTAATACTGTTTATTATAAACAGAGAATTTACTTAAATACTTGTATCTATAAAAAAGAACGTTAAACATAAAAATGTCTTTAATAAATATATATGTTTTTTAATTTTTTTTTTGAACAATAAAAAAATATTAAAAAAATTAAAATCTTCAGACACACTGGGTTGTAGATTAATATTCTTTCGTTTTTTTATTATTATTTCATTTAGATTCCTCGACTAGTTTCGGCCAAAATGACCATCATCGGGAGAAGAAATATTTCTGCTTGCTGGTAGCAGTAAACTACATACACACGTGTGTGTGTGTGTCAGGAGGAGATAGAGATGCGAGCATGTATAGCGATTTATAGCCAAAAAATATATTCCGTTTGTTCCTTGCCGTTTATAAACTAAGCAATGTATTAAATGATATGCATTAACCTAACTTCCGAGTTAGGTATGAATGGATGGCAAACGGCAACAATGAGAAATGGTAAAAAAAATTAAAACAATGTTTAGATCTACAAGCGGAAGGTCGTGTCGGAGAAACATTATCGGAAATATCCTATAGGGACCCAGCAAATAAAAGAGGTTTTTCAAAGAAGAAATATGAAATATAAAAAAAAAAATTATTTGTATCCCGACAAATATCCTCATATTTGTTATCACAACGTTTCGACCAGTTTATCCCGTGGCTTTCTTCAGGGGGTCTGTCGATCCGGGTAACCTTTAGGGAATTTCAAACTTAGCCCGGAACTGGTTAGAGATTTTTTTTCGTTCTACTGAATATCTGGTTCGTTTTCAGTAGTGCCCAGTTATTGAATGCCATATATCTAGTTAGCGAATCGGTATTACCAAACTCAGGAATTTAACTCACAATTTCAGGCCGAAATTAGAACATGTATCTTAAGAGAACATTTTTTGTGGAATTTCTTGTTCGATAAGGAAAAAAAAAATTCTGTTCGTAGTATTGTTTCTAATACTAAAAGAGAAATTATAGTCTTCCACTGAACGATTGCAAACGGTAATTGTTATAATAAAAGCCAACATATTCAATAACTAAACAAGATGAAGTTAATTAATTTTGTGTGTTAAGAGTTTGTTTTTGTTCCATGTTGTTTTATTGATAAATTAGAAATAACGGGATAATTATTTAATATCTCCAGCTCAAAGAACGTCCTGTAAGTCTAAATAATAATCCTTAATTTAATTCGAATAATTAGTTTTGATAATTTTGTTTTTCTTTTGAAGTTCATGAATTTAGAATTCCATTACCAACTAAATATTAATAAAATAGTTTTATTCATAAACGTTCTAGAAATTATTCACATTAACAGATTAAACACCACTGTATACAAAACAAAAACTAAAACAATTAATTCTAATTCATACCTCCTTAATTATTATGGCGGGTATTCCTAGAGATACTAAGTAGCTTTTATTAATGAATTAATTAATAGACCCACCTAATTTCCTCTTCTTGCACAGTAATGTACAAAGAGCTCTAATTAACAATATATTTTCAAATTATTTAATTGACAAAAAAAAATCTACTAAAAGTGTTAAGAACAAGAATAAAAATAATTTATTCTTGTATAAAAAAATGCATAGTAAGATGTAAGATTATAAACGTATGTAAAACATAAAGAATAGATACATGTCGATTGCTGATAAAAATGAACGCATCATTAACTCTATACGCTAGCGTGCAAAGGTTTTGGACCAACGACATGCGATGATTATACACCTGTATTTTATTAAGAAGTTGAGATTCTTCAGCAGCATGCTTTTATTAGTAGTGTTTTCGTACGTGCCGTTTAACAAAGATACATCGGTTTAAACTGAAAGAAAAGGACGTGGCTATTGAACCAAGGAAAAGTCCAGGATGATAAAGTCATGATAATATGCAAATTTCTGATAGGAATTGCCTCATCTTATTAATACGAGTGTAAGGTGCCTTAGAAAGTTCTTGTAGTTGAACATTAGATTTTTTTTCAATGCTAAAATCATGGTTAAAATTTCTGCTGAAACGCAGATGAAAGACCTGACTCCCAACGGGAAGATGACTCAACGCGAATTAGTCATGGCGGCTAGAAATTTCCAGAAACGGTGTTCAAATCATTCAAAAGATATTTGCTAATATTAGGAGTGTTTTAAGTGCAAAGAAACCACGAAAAACTAAACATCTTAGACATGTTTGGTTTGTTATGTTTTTACCTCAATGGGTTATTTCATACAGACAAGATTTTTATTGCTAGTAATATTTATTCAAAAATGTATTGCTGGTAATATTTTTTTTTTCTTCAAAAATGTATTGTTGGTAATATTTTTTCCTCCAAAAATTCATTGCTAGTAATATTTTTACAAAAACGTATTGCTAGTATTAAAACATATTTTACTCGTTTTGACCCGTTTTGACCCGTTTGAGGGTTAACTATTTTCCCATAGTTGGGATCCTAATAGGTGCTACCACCCCGATCATGGTGAACCTGTGAATACCAGCAATAAGTGGTTCCACGCTCCTCAAATCCACCTGATGAGAGGCTTGATGTTGGACGTAGTTTATCGTCATACCCAGGAAAGTTAGACATGAGTGATGAAAAAGATTACGAGATTTTCAGTAGGCAATGCAAAATTAACAGCAAGTAAGGAGTAAATACAGTCTTTAGAGTGAAGTTTCAATTGATCACCCAGAAAAACTTGAACGGGAATACAACAGATAAAGATTAACCAAAATACGTTAGAATAGAAAAATGACTTCATCAAAATAACATATAACATGGGATGACGCAAAATGGCAAAAACGGAACATTTTGTGATAAATTCAACATAGAGTTACATTCTAATGCAAGAGAATATGTAAAGACAGTGAGATTTATTGTTTATTTATTTTACGAGTCAGCCTTTTGCAGGTTATTTAAAGCCAGAAAAGTATTTTCAGATTGTAAGACTATTTGGAGATAATAATGATACAAGTTCTACTAATTGACCTGTACTTGGCGGGCAGAAGAGACGTGTTCATACCTGTCCCAAAATTATTTGCGCGTAAATTAATATAACGAACCAGACTGGAATTGGAACTCTGCTCTCCGTTTTTCATATCTGTGTCGTTATCCATTACACCAACTGCACACTTAAGCTTACATCACATTGTATTCCCAAGCGGTCACCCATCTAGGTAGTGACCAGACTCGACGTTGCTTAAATTCGATGATCGCACGAGAACCGCTGTTTCCACGTGATAAGGCTGGAAGTCAGAAGACCCGTAGGAAAAAGACAGACTGCAAGAACCTCCACAAATACGGTACCTCATGGTGTGGGGTTGCATCAAAATCGGTGCTAGAAGAAAACTCGTCAAAACTGATGGAAACGTAAACGGCGAAAACTATATTAGTTTACTACGGTCTAATCTTCTGCCAGACAACAAAGATGGGGACATTTTTCAGCATGATGACGCTCCTTATCACACATCACATAAACTTTTATTGTGGCTGAACATGTTCAACTTTTAGAAGACTAGCAAGTACAATGTCCTGACCTCAATATAATTGAATCATTGTGGTGGGAAGTGAAGAAACAAGTGCTCCAACGAAAACCACACAAACTCCAAGATCTTTGAGATTATGGCTACTGCGAGGAAGAATGGAGAAAAATCCTAATGAGAAAAGCTGGACCATTTTACATTGAATTCTACATCGAAACCTGGTAGTTATGATAGCTACCACGAAAGAAAGAAGCTGCAGAAGATATAGTACCAGATGTAGATTATAAGGCAACTGATACTTGCAAACAAAAAAAATGAAAGAAGTCAATGATGGGGATGCACTCGAATTAACCCTGAATGCCAGAGACAAATTTCCTATATCAGCTTTCTACGCCATTATTGACGAACTTAAAACGGAGATGAGATGGAGATGAATAGATGTAAAATAATATAGCAGACCGATTCTCTTGCTTGGTTGATATACCAGAAACATCAAGTTCCTCGGTCACTGAAGATAGAATACAGTATTCTGAGCGTTGTGAAAAAACTAACCAATGCCTACCCAGAGGACTTGAACAGTGATTTTTCTACAGACCTTCAGCTGTTTCATTCATATATTCGCCATAAGTTTAGTGCAACAAAAGCTGTGAAAACCAGATTCGGTCATGCAGTACTCTACAAAGTAACGATAGAAGACAACACAGAGTTTGTTTTCCAAATGTAGAGATTAGCTTGAGCATATTTTTTTTTTAACATTAATGGTTACAAGCTGTGCAACTAAACGCTCATTTTCTCAATTGAAGCATATAAAAAATCCGAACAATGAGACAAACGAGGCTAGATTTCTTATCTCTGCCCATGACTGAAGCAGATTTGTTGAGCCAAATTAACTTTGGGGACATAATCAAAGACTGCTAGAAGGAAATCTAGGAGAAAGCACTTTAAAGTGTTAATTTTTACGTATTTTTTTTTTTGAAAATGTTGACATTACGATTTCCTGTTAAAAGACACAATTTAGTATATTGAAGTTTTTTTTTTTTTTTATTTATATTTTGCTTTTTGAATTGCAAGTTCAAGAGGTGCTTTGTACTTGTTTTTGTTCTAAAAGTAAATACTATCGTCACCCCCCTCCTTCCGTCAACGGTTGCCTCAAAACTTTTCACTTTCCCTTTTCTTCATCATTGTTGCTACCCTTTGAGCAACGACCCCACATTTTCAACGTTAAGCCACGTGACCCTTTTGAATGGACGTCCATTCAAGATGTACATTGTACTTGTTTTAATTCTAAAAATAAAGAGCTTCATTTTTACTGTTTAATTTTTCATTTTTGCCTTCTGTGAAAGATAAGGTACAGCAGATGTGTTTATTATTATAAACAAGTGATTATTTTATACTATTTACATTATTCGGGCTATTGTCTTCATCTTTTTCGCCATATTTATTACAAAGTTTCGGCCGTTGTACGCTCCGGCCTTCTTCAGGTGGTTGGATTATCGAACTGAACCCTTTATTTCGCTTACCCGGGTAGACACTTCTAGTTCCACGTGCCATGTTTTAATGGATGTCAGTTATCTTCTGTTAATTCCCCTCTCCAAGTTCCCCAACGGCTTGACCGGATATTGAATTCACGCTCTTTGGGTCCTGTCACTGGATCTAACTAACACCTATATCCAATGTGCCATGTGTTCTTGAGGATCCATAGAGTTCAACACCTGGTAAAGGCGGTGGAGAAATTGGAGAGGGAATTAAGCAGGGGATAACTGATATCCATTAAACATAGCAAGTGGAACTAGAACAGTCTACCCCAGTGAGTAAAATAAAGGGTTAAGTTCGACATTCCAACCACCGGAAGAAAGTCGGAGCTTACAACGGCCGAAACGTTGTAATAAATATGGCGACAAAGATGAGGACAATAGTCCGAATAATGTAAATAGCAGACAATTCTTTATGTCAGAATCCTTCTTATACATTGATATCGGATGTAACATCAACATTGTCCAAATCGTGAAATAGAATGGGATAATTGTCCATTCCACAAAATGTTTAATATCCAAAAGACCACTAATTGAATTTCTTTTATCCAGGTTTTCATATAAGACGTTTAGCTATCTTGACAACATTTGTCGTAAGAATCACTCAAAGACCTTTTGAGTTG